TCAAGAAGCTATCTATTTATCACACCAAAATGATGATGTTGTGGATTTGTGTGCTGATTGGAAGCATCTCCTGTAGTCCTGTAAATAAAGTCTTCAGATGTGAGGAGTTTCTTCACTAAGAATAGAAAACACAACGTTAAAGGAGTGGACCTACTATATAGCCATTTTCACATCTGTACTCTATAATATCTAGATCATTTCAGGAGGACTGCTCCGGGGATTCGGGAAAAAAATCCTAGGGGTCTGGAAGAGAAACTCTGGGTGACAAATGAGGCTGTTTGCGTTCACACATACAGCTCCTCCTGGAAATATCAGGAGTTTTCTGCAAGTTTGTGGCATTGACAAAAACTGTACAGAAATAGTCGGTCTTCATGCTGATGTTCTTGTTTGCTTTTGTAAATCATAAAGAGGCAACAAAGTTACTCTGAGAGTGTTTTTAAAGCCAGCAAAAAAACTCCTGTGTGTATAAAAGAGAGAGAGAGAAGAGAGAGAGAGAGAGAGAGAGAGACTGCACTGAGCCAACACTGAGGTGTTTTGCATCTCAGTTAAAGCCAGTCAGCTGATGCTCTGTGATCGTCATAAATCTGAAGGTGACCAATCACAGCAGATACATCGATGGTCTGCGTGTCACTGCAGCAGTACACAAGCTGCCAGCTCAGGGAGCAGAAACGCAGCACAGGTGAAAGTCGACCGCATAGAAAGATGTTTCCGTACAGGTTTGAGGTAAAAAGATGCCAAAGTCTGGTATCTCTGACGGGAGCCTCAGCGGGGCGGCTGGTTTACAGAGAGGAAACTGCCAATGGATGATGCAGACAGGTGAACCGGGTAGATTAGGCTGCAGTTTAAAAATGTGCCAACAGGACACCAAAGAGAGAGAGGGGGGGGAATATGAGAGGGAAGGCTAATGGGGTTAAATATAGCGGAGCGATACACAAAATAAAGTAACTGCTGTCTAAAAAAAAAAACAAAGAGAAGCTTCAACAACACAATATAAGATTTTTTCCCATGCACCTCTACAGGTTTTGACAGAAGAAATGTGCATGATGTTTCCAATATCCCCCAGAACATCAAGATGACCGCCTCTCTCTCTCTCGCACAGATACGTGCTGCAGGTTAAAACCTTTGGACACAATCCAAAGAGTAGAGTAAAACCGCCTCCAGCTGAATGGATCACTCCTCACTTTCTGCTAATAATCACCACTGACTGAGAAATATTCAAAACACGTAGGTCACAGTTCCCAAAGAGGCACGCTCCTTCCTATGCTGGTTTTTTTTTTTTTCAAGCTGTATCGTTGTGTGGGAAGCAGCTTGGAGATCTTTTAACCCTCATCTCATGATGGTTTACAAATCAGCAGTCCTTTAACTTAATGGATCGGGGGAAATGTTGCATTCAAGGAACTCTATACATTATCTATGGAAGTGTTCAAACTGCAGCAGAGAAAAATTCATCTTTCTAATAAGGTTCACCAATAAATCATCAACAATTCATTTGAGTGTAGCTGATAGCAAGCTTAAGTTTGATCTGACACTCGGGTCTCCATCCAGTTTGCTTAAATGTTTGCAGGCTGAGCGAGAAAACAACTTTTCGTGTTCTTTTTTTGTTGCTTTAAATTCAGACTTGAAGTGTTTCCTTTGTAACTCGTATATGAACGATGAAATAGCCATAAATTGTGCAGCCTTAAATTAATCACCAATATGAATTCCGACTATGGTGAATATAAGACATCTTGACAGGTAAAAGTAACCAAGGAGCATCGGGCATAGTTGTGTGTTTTGTGTGTGATAGAGTGTAAATATAAATAGATAAGATAGATAGATCGGAATTTTATTAATCCCTTGGGAAGGTTCCCTCAGGAAATTCAGATTCCAGCAGCAGGTAACACCAAAGGATAGAACAGCACACAGATACAAAGAATAAAAAAAAAAAAAAGTTATATACAAATAATATACTGTACACAGTAGCAGCAATAAATAAATAAATATATATATATATTTTAAATATAATATATCATTAATAAAATAAAATAAATAATAATAAATAAATAAATAAATAAACAATAATAAACAATAATAAATAAATAATAATACAATTAATAAATATAATTTATATATAATAAATAAATGTTTGAAGCCTGAGTGATGTCCTGCAGGAGGCTCTGGAGACTCATCAGCAGCAGCCTCCATGTTGGAAATCCTGTCTCAGTCTAAATTTCAGTCAACCTAACAACAGACTGAGAGCTGGAGCTGAGGCGGGTTTTAAGCGTGCCCACCTGTCAATCATGTCAGCTACCCGCCTTACTATGGATAACACGTTTCTTTCATAATATCAAAATAGAGCTGTTTAAAAAAATCCCCCCCCCCCCGTACAGTGTGTGCCAGTGAGACAATAACAAATCACACCTATTGTTTTTTTCTTCCAGGCTGTAAACATGTTTATTTATGCTGTAAGCTTTTTAATGTGGTGTGTATGTGACTTCCGGCGTTCCTGCAGCCAGCCAACACTCAGCAGGATTTTGCACTTCCACATTGGCTTCATTTTTCAACACTGGAGGTTGCTGCCTGGTTGGCGTGTGTGAGACAAATGTACAGAGGTTTATATTCTCAGGCTGTCTGTCATACAGTGCAGTCTGGAGTATTTATTATCTCTCTGTGTCCGATCGTTCTGCTGCTGCTGTGAGTGTCACTATATGAAAGACGACTGCACTCTTGGAGGGTGCTTGGATGGTTGAAGGGGGGGTAAAGTGGACCCCTCAGTCACTTAGTCAGAGGCGTTGGAGAGGCACTTGGACTTCAGCGTCTGCTCACAAGCTCTCGTAATCAAGCAGTTAAAGAGGAAAAGCACACCTGAGCCGTTCCTGTCAGGGAGTTAAACCCTATGTGACTTGTCAGGGATGAGTGGTGATCCAGGTATCTGCATTTACATCATTCTCTAATAACAGATGGACCACTAACCAGTGAGAGCGTGCAGCAGACTCAGTCTTTTATTGAGTGTTTTTTCTGATTCGCTGGTTTCTCAGCCTCCCAGTGAAAGACAAAACCGCCTTATCGATCGTTCAAATCTGAAAACCTCAGGAAGACTATAAGTATTTGTAATTCTTTGTATTTGTATTTGTATTTGTAGTATTTGTATTTGTATTCGCAGGTCGTTCATCCCATCTGCCGTTAGACTGTTTAATCGGACTCTTTAACAACATCACCACCTCATGCTACACACTGTGTAGTGTTACTGTGGAATTTTACAATATTGTATATTTTTTTACATTATTGTATATTTTTTTACATTATTGTATTTTTTTTACATTATTGTATTTTTTTACATTATTGTATTTTTTTTTTACATTATTGTATTTTTTTACATTATTGTATTTTTTTTACATTATTGTATTTTTTTACATTATTGTATTTTTTTTACATTATTGTATTTTTTATTTAAATGATGTAAATATGTTTGATCTGTTTTTAACTTCTATTTTTATTTTTTATAAGTATATTCCTGTCCCCTGTTTTCTGGAGCTGCTGTAATGCACAAATTTCCCCCACGGGGGATCAACAAAGTTTATCTTTATCTTTATCTTTAATTCTTCTAGACATGTGCTTAAAGGAAATGTTCTCCACTCTCCGATTACTAAATTCTTTTTAGGTTTTATATTTCTCCATGTACTTTTTTTTTGCTTTCAGACGAATCCTTGTATCCTTTCATTGAGACAGATCTTTGTATTGTTCTTCCAGTTGTTTATTTATTCATTGTCCTGCTTACTATCAGAGTTTTTGAAGCTCTTATCTCGTGTGTTATCGCTCTTGGATGTAATTCATTGTATCTGAACTTCCCTGTGGCTCAGTGGTAAAGATCCCCAGCTTCTGCAGTCACATGTCAAAGTGTCCCTGAGCGAGACACTGAACCCTAAACTTCTCCTGCTGCTCTGTCTGCGGTGTATGAATGTGTGTGAATGGGATTAGTTAATACTGATGGACACTTTAGTCAGCAGCCTCTACCATCAGTGTGTGAATGTGTAGGTGTGACCTGCAGTGAAAAGCACTCTGAGTAGTCAGAAGACTAGAAAAGAAAATATACAAGCTCAAGTCCATTTACCTTTAATGTACAAGCTGCTCAGAACTAATATCCCTCTAGACGTATTAATAAAGAAGTTTGGACTGAATCGACTCACACGCTCTCCTACCCTAACCCCATCCAGAAGACCACGGCAAGATTTTTTCTGACTGTTAGCGTTTTTTTCAAGGTCTTTTTGGGAATGTAATGTCTGGATATAAAGGTTTGTACGTCCATATTTCTTGTTTTCTTGACAGTTGTTTGATTACTGCTGCATTGATGACTATTATCGAAGCTGCAACCTCCAGTCTTTAAAAATGAAGCCAATGTGAAAGTGCAAAATCCTGCAGTTTGTCGAGTGTCCGCTAGAGGCTGGCTCCAGGAACACCGGAAGTCACAGACACATGACGGGCAAAAAGCCGTTTTTACAGCATAAATAAACATGTTTACCGCCTGGTACAAAAACTGAAACAGGTCTTATAAGTTATTGTACACACTGTACGGACGGTGACATTTTTTTATTTAACGGTTCATCAGGAGGTTTAAAACCCGCCTCAGCTCCAGCTCTCAGCCTGTTGTTAGGTTGACTGAAAGTTAGACTGAGACAGGATTTCCAGCATGGCGGCGGCTGCTGCTGCTGCTGAGCCTCCGGCGCCACCTGCAGGAAGGGATGGATGACGTCACTCAGGCTTCAAACATTCATATTTACAGTCCATGATTTGACCTTAAAATTGTCTTCATAACTCCGCCCCCAGTCGTCAGTTACCTTGACCTTTGAGCCACTAAGGTCGTCATGTCTGTCCCCTGGCTCTCACCTCAGTCATGAGCGAGACACTCTGAGTGTTATTGTGTGAACGAGTATTGTCATTTCAAAGTCTAGACCTCGAATATAAGACGATTCCACTTTTTTTTAGAAATGTTTCGAGGGAGAAGTTATTTTGCATGCCCTCACCTCATGGTGCTGAAAGCCAGCAGGCCGTAGAACAGCGTGTGCATCAGATTATAGGCCACATCTGGACGAAACGCCACCGCTCGCCCCTCTCCGCCTCCTCTCCTCTCCTCAGCTGAACCCCCTTTAGGTCTGCTGAGAAACACAGAAGAAGACAGCGAGACAAAAGACAACAGTGATACATAAAACATTAGAGCCAGGGCGCTTCAGAAGCAGAATGGGGAGGTGGGTGGAATTGATAACATTCAGATTTTTTTAGATCGCAGCAGATATTGTTCAGATTTCATTAGCTGCTTTTTTTTAAACAAGCGGACACGCAGCGCTGCACACCCACGACTGTTTCTGTCGGTGGGGAGTCAGCATGCGGACAAACAGAGGGAGGGGCCTCAGGGGCGAAGACGTCACAGCCACGATCTGGCCTCCTGCACCACACACGATGGACACTTGCTTTCATTTGAATACAAATCCAATATGACTCCACCTTCTACACAGAGAGGGGTGAAAATTATTTAATTAATTACTCAATAAGGAAGAAGCCCTTTGCTCTTCGAGGTTAGTATTCCAGCCGTGCGACAGGCAGAGCGCCAGTTCAAATGTTAATGTCATTAATCCAATGCGGCCCCCTCGCCTTTCACCACGGGCAAATAAAGCTGTGGGGGGGGGGGGAGACTCTGTGATCCAGAGCATGAAGCAACAACGTCAACAAACCCCACTAATGTGTTTGCAGATCGTCACACACACATTTGCAGATATGTGTTTACGCATTTGTGGATCTTACACGGCAGGAGTGTTGCAAAAGTCACGTGTAAAATGACAGCCAATGGCGCGGCCCGACTCAGTTGTAAGCGATCATTTGTTTTTATTTACAGGATTTACAGCTGAAAAAGTTCACTGCCATTAATAAATAAGTAAACATTTTGAATTTGGTCTACATATTAGTTTACACATTTGTGGATCTGTGTACGCATATTCAAATAGTTTTGCCACAATGATAGCTCCATAAATCTGCAGTGATGTTGGACAACCCAAACATCGGCTGTTTCCGAACATGCACCCAAGAACATTTTCTATGATATTTAATACAGCCTGCGTCTGAAATCTTTGCTGCTTATTCACACACTGCCCTCACAGCGGGGGGAGTTTCCACTGTTCTGGAGGCAAAATATGACTTCAAAAAGACCCTGAGGAAATCCAAAGATGGGGCAGAGTCTGACTCCATTAAAATAATGATAATGATAATACACAAGAACAGAACAAAACAGAGAAAACAAAACAACAAAGAAATCATTTAAGAGAAGGAGGATGAGAACAGAGATTGTTAGTAGTTGTAGGCGAGTTTTTAAGGATTTCTTGAAGGTGGAGAGTAAAGGGGGGGAGGGGTCTCTGATGGTTTTTGGGAGTGAGTTCCAGAGGGCGGGATTGGCAATGGAGATGACCCTGTCCCCCCAGGACCGGTGGTTGGTCCTGCAGGGGGGACAGTCTTTGTCTTTAAATCAGTGTTATGTGTAGTTTGACGCATTCACATTATAAACAAAAGAGCAGAGAGGACATGGACAAGGAAAGGTCTGCTCACTCAGTGTAAATTGACTAAATATTTCCTGCTGCATTTTTAAATCAGCTCAACCCGAAGTCAAGCAGAAAAAACTAGGGGGGTTGGTAGAAAAAAAGTCTAGGGAAAGTCAAATCATTCACACATGCATCTCACCCCAAACATTTCAGGAATTTTTGCAAGAGTTTTGTGCAATAGTGAATATTGAGAAAATGTAAAAAAGACATTTTCAAAAACATTTCTTAATTCTAACTTTTAATCTCTTAAGCTCCGTGTCCACCTTGCATTTTGTCCTCGGGCAGAAAAGCCCTTGCTGTGCGCTCGGTAGCGCTTGCATGAAGCGTTTTGGCGCTGAGAAGAAAAGCGTTGCACGTCCCTCCTGTCTCCATGACAACAGCCTGCTGACAGCCTCCACTGTATGACCGACACTTCCGTTTCTCTTCAACCTAATGTGTTTTATGATAGATTGCTTAATCATATATTTGGAAAAGAGTGCGGGTGACGTCAACAGCACCTTTCTGAAAAGCTGAAATGTTTTCAACTTGAGCGCTTGGAGTGGCCGCACAAACAAGGCGGAGCTCCGGAAAAATGGGCTGGAGTCCAGGCGTCCGTTTCCTGCTGCGTACGTTCTCTACTCCTTGAAAACAATTGAAAAAACGATGCTAGTGCTCAGAAAAACAATGCTAGGTGGACACGGGGTCTTCCTTCTAAAAGTTCCCGCTCACTTCACTTCACGTCCTTCACCTACCTCAGGTTCTGCAGCGCGGCCACCGCCAGCGTGCCGCTGAGCAGCAGCAGTGTGAGGACGTAGGGGTAGAGCAGCAGAGTACCAGCCAGACGCTCCAGCGTGTCGAGCGGCAGCAGACCGAAAGCCTCCTCACACAGATACAGACTGGCATCAAAATCTCTGCAGGAAAAAGGAAAAGAGAGAAGAAAAGAAAGATGGAGAGAAATAAATGAATGACACAAAAGCAGGATATATATCTGTGTTGTTAAAAACTGTATTGGGGTTGAATTTCTATTATAATATTTTTTTTTGATTATATCTAGAATGAGAGTTATGCATCAAGTGACCCTTTGTCAAGCCACGCCCACACCATGAAGTGACCTTTTGTCAAGCCACGCCCACACCCGGAAGGGACCTTTTGTCCAGCCCCGCCCTCACCAGGAAGTGTGTTTTTGTCAAGCCGCACCCTCCTTAGTTACTGTTACTAGGTAAGACTAAAATTCTTGTTGACTTGGAGCTCTCTGATTGGTGTGTCAGTGGACCGATCAGAAAGCCTACAAAGGGTCAGTTTGTATAATTAGGGGTGTGGCTGACGTGAGAGGTGGGAGCGTTGTAGCTGTTTGCCAACATGTGTGAGGGAGCCTCATCTTGACCTCTTGTTTGTCACTAGTTTGACCGAGTGTTGGCTGGAGACAACATTTCCAATACGGCGACCGTGGCTTTGAAAAGCTTCGTTGGAAACCAGCGGATGATGTCACTGAGATGGGGTCCATGTTTTATAGTTTTATAGAGTTTATGGGGTTCACACTAAGATGTGTTGGTGAACATCCAGATAAGTGAAGGTTTGGTCTGAGTATTTGTTGCTCTAATAAGTCCAGACTGTTTTTAAAGCAGCTTTGAGGCAAAAACAATTCCCGCCGCCGTCCAATCACCAACACCTAGTTATCCATGAAGAAAGAAGAAAGGAGACAAACTCTTCTAACTACTTTCAAATAAGCCGGAAAAAGCAATAAAAACATTCATGAAGTGAATTTATAATCCTAATATGGCATGAGCCGCACTAAACAAACTTGTGTTGCTTTTTGAGGATCCTATATTTGACAGATGATTCGAGTAATACCGCCCGTGATAAACAACGTAATTGAACTGAGAATTGAGATATCCTTCCACACAGAACAGAACTCGAGGGATAATAAAAGGAGCAGTGGCAGAAAAAAGAAGCAAGTGAGTGGGAGAAGCAGGGACAGAGGCAGAGACGGAGGGTAAACTCTGCATTTTTCCACAGCCCTGCTGAATAATTGAAGGGCCAGTTGTGTGGCGTCGGGTGAGAGAGCTGTGTGTTATCTGCCACCCCGGAGCACCTATCCAGTGGCTGAGCTGCTCTGCACACACACACAGTGTCTGATCGATGGGAGGCCTGCTGCTGCCGCCGTTACCCCGCCATCTATTATTCACACACACACACTAACGCTCCAGGTGCGATACTGCTGCTCAGTGAATAATACAGTCGAGCTGGATCAAATCAAGGAGGTGTGTACGGGCGCCGACTGTGTGTGAGCACTCCCCCGGTGTTAAAAAAAAAATCTGTACGCGACTGTTTTCAGGGAACACAAGCAAGTGAATCTTTGTTTAAGTATGCATGTGTGTGTGTGTGTGTGTGTGTGTGTGTGTGTGTGTGTGTGTTGTTCATACCTGGTGGATCCCAAGCCAAGCTTTGACTGGATGAATTTAAAGATGTGTTCGTCTGATCTGAGCTGAAGTACTCTCTGCAAAAAATGCACACACACACACACACACACACACACACACACACACACACACACACACACACACACACACACACACACACACACACACACACACACACACACACACACACACAGATAAGGTCATCATGTCAAGGATTGGAGACCAGCATGCTGAGATCTTTAAATAAGTCAATACATGAAGGTGACCTCACATACACATTAAGATACCTGAGGAGCAGGAGGAGAGGAGGGAGGAGAGAGGGGAATTCAGGAAAGAGTCGAAGAAACATTTAAACAAAAACAAGAGGAGCAGACGAAGGAGGAGAGGGAGAGAGAGAGATGAGACATTCAGAGAAAAAAAACTGGAAATAAAAGAGCAGATTTGAAAGAAATGGGGCTGGAGATAAGAGAGAGAGAGAAGAGTGCAACACTTGCAGCGGTGGTGGAGTAAAGGGGACAGGTGGGGATTTAGAAAGAAAGTAACAGGATGGAAACAGTAAGAAGAGGAGATTAAGGAAAAAGATAGGGGTAAGTTGAAAAGGAGAGGAGGAGCTACCTTGGCCAGGTAGTTGATGGTGCAGGTGAGGAGGAGGACCGTGGCGCTGTGGAGGAGCAGTTTGCCCAGACGAAGCAGCGGGCTTCCCGTCTTCAGGCCAGACTGCAGGAGCACGCAGCGACAGGAGGTCAGTCAACACAAGAATACATCTGATTTATAAAGAGTAAAACTCAAAGACACACCTGTTAAAAAACAAAGAAAGATCAGAACAGGAAGAACAAACACACAGGTCATAAAGACAACAACTTCAGAGTGTAATCTGTTCTGCACATGTTAAATTTACAAATTATTCCTGCACTCAAGTTCACTTCATTTGTCTACTCGCCGTTATATTGAATATTTTCTACTGATAACATGTCTCCTGCACTTTAACTTATGTATCACTGACTGCACAGCTCTGGACAGCTCCCCATGTCAATACATTTACATCTACCTCCAGCAAAGTATGTTGTATTTAATCTTTCATATTTAAGACTAGAAGTAATGCGAAGTTAAATCCTGGGTGTATAATTCTCATTCTTAGTTTTGATATTTTTAGTGCTTATTTACTTGGTGTTTAATATTATATTGTGTTTATTTGCTAATATTGTGTGTTTGCATAACCTTTCTGCTGTAAGGCATCAATTTCCCAGTTTGGGATCAATAAAGTCATTATTCTATTCTATGTTATTCTATTATATAAGCTGCACATTCAAAGAACACACATCATACATTAAAAGCTCGAATGTGATAAATGCATTGATTAGTGTTTCAGCAGCAGAGAATGAGAGTAATGGACAGAGATGCATCATATTTTGAACCACATAAATGCATCCATTTGAACGACAAAAACCAAAAGCATCCACTTCAGATATGAGAGTGATTCAACACAGTGATGCTTCCTTTATCTCATAAAATGATTTTTTTTGGCCGAGCACCGACACCAGCTTGCGTATTAAAAAAGACAGCAGCCAAATGTTTTCATCTTGGTCATTTGCATTAATTAGCTTTAACCAAGACCCGTTTGAATCGTTGGTGAATTTGTATTTCAAAACATGCTTTGTCCTCGAGCTCGTGCAATGTGATATCTGTGCTGTCATATCTGAAGTTAGAACTGTTTTCTGGAACGTGAAGAGTTGAAGCACTACACCTTTTATTTGATTTCAATATTTGGACTTGGGAAGAAGTCAAGTTGCTCCAAATCGATACTGAGGATGGACCGATCTGGTCCTGGTTGGATACCGTCTCTGTGGGACCAAACCAGGGGGCTGATCTATTAAATCTAGTTCTGTCATCAGTGCACTGGTGGGCTTGTGCATTTTGACACATAGCATGGAGGGTGCTAACAAAAGGAAGGCTAAGCAGTTTGGAGGTATTTCAGACTGGTTATTCAAACGACTTCTACGGCTGCTTGCAATTTCTGCAAAGCTATCGCTGCAAGCGGGAGAGATAGAACGACGAGTTTAAACAATCAAGAAGGCAGACGAAACTCAACCGTTAACTTTGTCAGATTTTGAGGCAGATTGTGATCAAAATGAAGTCTGTTTATTTGTGTTTAATTATACATTTTTTGTCTAATAAAGAAAGAAAAGCCTGATGCTGCTTTGTACATAAATGATTCCCAGCCTCGCCCTCACAGAGAGGAATACAGGTCATTTATTTAACTCTGGATTTGTATTGGCAAATACCAGAAGCCAAGGTACCCCTTTGGTATCGGAGCTCAAATGACATCTATTCTGCTGATCCATCTTTAAATACAAACAGAAAATGTTACGATGTTGGATGAAGAAGTAAATCTCAGCAACGTTTTTTTTTTTTGAAACACAACATACACAGTTGTTGACCTAATCCCCTGACGTGGTTTCCTGATGCTCTGAACGAGACGTTACGAGACCTTGGTGAGACTTGGCTAGAACCCGACGAATCAGAGCAAAGCATGGAGCAAAGTTAAAGGAAATGCCCACCCTGAAGCTCACTCATTATTACACTCTGACTGCAAACAGAGCCGGCCAATCAGGGGACAGTGTGCATATGGGGGGGGGGGGCCTTGAAGAGACATCAGCTGAAATGAAGCATTTCATGCAATTCTACAATTCACTTAGCAGACACTTTAATCCAAAGCAACGTACATCAGAGAGTAAGAACAACACGAGCAAGGATCTAGAAAAGAAGAGGCTGAAATGTCCGATAAATAAGGAGGTTTTTGAGCTACACGTCTCACAACGCAGCTCGATTTTTGTCCCAGACTGACATCATGAATGGTGAAAGTGAGAATAATAGATCTCCTTTAAAAAGTTGGATTGGTCATGGGGCCAGCCTTAAGACCCTCAAAGCATGGGGATGCAGCCTACAGTATAGTTAAGGACAGTGTGCGGCGTGCTTGACCTGGAATGTGTTTTCATTGAGGGATCCGGGGTGGGGATGTAAGTGGGGTCGCCACGGGGTGGATGGGGGTGGGGGGGGAAGGTTTGAATGTTTGATTGATCCTGATGTTTGCACGTATGCACTTTTATACATGTATGTGCTCTAGGGGGGTGGGGGGAAGGGAAAGGGGAAAACAGTTGTAATAAATAAAAATAAAAAATTGATCACAAAAGAAAAAGTTGGATCGGTGCATCATTAGTCAACAAATCTCTGGGTAGTCGTGTGTCGTTGTTGTGGCTCGCTGCATGAGGAGACTAAGACCATTTCGACTGAAACATGTAACATTTACAGCACGCCGTTTTCCTGCACACAGGTTATTACAGAGGAAACGTGAAATGTCTCTCTCTCTCCTCTCCGCTCCACTTTCATCCTGTCACATTAGATGTTTCTGTAATTGTTACAGTGACAAGATCTGATTTCACTTAATTACATTTAGACCCAGCCACAAAAAATAAAAAATAAAAAATGTGTCTGCCGCATGAAAATTGGAATTATCTTCAAGCAAAACGTGAGTGCAGCGCGCCGGCCTCTTCACGTCAAACAGATCTCAACTTAATCTTCTTTCTGCGTTTTCAAGAGGAGGCGACCACGACTGTCTGCATCCACCAGGTGACTTTGATGCACTAAAAAATGAGAAATTCATTCTCTGGGCTCCCGGTGCTCGCCTTTCCTTATCTCAAAACATCACATTTATATTTCTTAATCCATAAGAGACACACACACACACACACACACACACACACACACACACACACACACACACACCTGGCAGTGTCTGACGAAGAGTGCAGCTACGATGAAGCTCAGGACCAGCGATCCCAGGATCATGGAGTTACAGAACTGGAGGAGCCACACACTGAGCAGGGCGCTCACCTGAACGAGGTACAGCGTGGTCACCTGGAGAGACACATGTACAAGGTGATGTGTGAACATGTGGGATTCAGTGCTAGCTATAGCATATCGAGCTAAGTGCCTCCTATCACTGAGTGGAAGCTAGTTAGCCTAGCGTGTTTAGTTGCTGAGAATAGAGGAAAAACATCCTAACGCATTGTTCATAGGTGTTAACACAGGCTGAACTAAGCATCAAATCCCCGAAACCCCCACACAGAGGCCTGAGGGCGATGAGAAGCAGATCCATCCTCTTCTGAAATGTGGACACATTTCCAAAATAGCTGAAGTATCCTCATAGTTTATATTTCTTCACATGAAAACTGAGAAGAATTCAAACGTCAGTTGATGTTGTTTGAAGGTTTTGTGAACTGTCTGGAACCATCTGAAGGAACGTTTGTAATATTTGCTAAAACTGATAATGTGACATGTTGGATTGACACCATCAGTACTCTTCAATCTGTGTTATCATTTGTTATTTGTTAAGTTTTGTCTAGCTGTGAGGGTTTCTAAAAAAGATGTATGTCTTGTTGAAAGACTCAAAGTAAGAGTGAGGATCTGTGGTCATTTTGATCGAACTGATCGGTTAACAAACACAACAGAGACGTCTAAAAGAGAGCGGCCTTTTATTTGTAAAACTGTCTCAGATCCTGAAAACACAACGGACCGACGGGGACTGTGCATGCAGAACTAGGAAATTATACAAGAAGCTAAAAAACTTTAAATCATTCAGCTCAATGAGTCTTTTTTTTTGGGGTACTGACTCAAGACGGGAAACTGGACGGAGAAGAATGGTGATATATAAACCGTTGTTAGGATACGAGAAGACAATTTCAAACCGCTGTCGCTCACCACTCATAATATACAGTAGGTACTTCTAATCAAGAATAATGTCTGATAAAAAGTTGCCTCTTGACTGTAGCTCTTTACTTTCTAGTTTACAAAAACTAGGGCGAGTATCGCTCACCGATGGCCGAAGATCTCCTTGGTGTGTCAGGGCCTTTAAAGGCAGAAAGCTAGCCAGATTCCTGAGTGCACCGTCTGAAGGCCACACCTCTCCACACACACACGCTCCGAAACAGAGCGGAGAGAAGACCTCAGCACATCGCATTCAACTTTATTATCAGACTGAATGTAAAAACACAAACATGGCAACAGTAAGACAGTAACCATGGCGTCACTTTTCAGACCCTTCAGCTGCCTCAGTTATCACCATCGCTGAAAAGTTCTATGAATGTGTACTCTGGTTTTTCCTCTCGCTTTATCTAAACTCGTTCTCATCGCAGCCTTTTTTGCTAAGTTAGAAAACGTTATTTTCTTGCACGAGCAGGACGAGCGGTAACAAGTTACAGTGTGGCGGTGGTCATGAGCTTTCTCTGCTGTCTGGCATTTGATTGGTCCTTCCCATCCTGACCTCACAGCAGTGATAGGTCGGAGCTTTACAGGATAACAGCAGCCTGTTCTTTTTCAGAGTACAATATCTACTGATTGCTGTCAGGGTGTAAAGACTGTTTTAACTATTCTAACAAATGCAAACTGGATGAAATTACCGAGCCTACCTTTAAGTATGCGACCCTTCTCGTAGTCTTACCTGTGTCGTTGTTAGGAAGTCTGCACAGTCCAGGGTGTAAATGACGAGAGCCTGAACAAGAAGGATGAACTGGTTGAACTGCCACGTCAGACAGAAACAGAAGGTGGTCACATACATCAGCCACACCACCACCTTCTGCAGGGGGAAACACACAAAAGAACACACTGTGGTTAGATAATCCAAGTGTGTGTGTGTGTGTGTGTGTGTGTGTGGTGTGTGTGTGTGTGTGTGTGTGTGTGTGTGTGTGTGTGTGTGTGTGTGTACCTGCTGCAAAGCGCTGAGCTGAGGCTGAGGAAGCAGGTGATAGTGGTGACCTGCAGAGCGAGAAGGGCAGAGACCAGTTCTCTCTGAGCGAGATGGTGAACTCCACCCGAGTGGTGTCGACCCTGAGAGGAGGAGGAGGAGGAGGAGGAGGGAGGAGGAGGCGGATGAGGAGGAGGAGGAGGAAAAGGAGGAGGAGCAGGAGGATGAGGATAGGAGGAAAAGGAGGAGGAGCAGGAGGAGGAGGAGGAGGAGGAGGAGGAGGAGGAGCAGGAGGAGGAGGAGGAGGATGAGGAGGAGGAGGAGGAGGAGGAGGAGGAGAGGAGGAAGCAGGAGGATGAGGATGAGAGGAGAAAAGGAGAGGGGAGGAGGAGGAGCAGGGGAGGAGGAGGAGGAGGAGGCGGATGAGGAGGAGGAAGAGGAAAAGGAGGAGGAGCAGGAGGATGAGGATGAGGAGGAAAGGAGGAGGAGGAGGAAGGAGCAGAGGAGGAGAGAGGAGGAGGAGGAGGAGCAGGAGGAGGAGAGGAGGAGGAATGAGCAGGAGGAGCAGGAGAGAGGAGGGGAGAGGAGGAAAAGGAGGAGGAGCAGAGGAGGAGGAGGAGGAAAGCAGGAGAGGAGAGGAGGAAGGAGAGGAGCAGGAGATGAGGAGGAGACAGGATGAGAGGATGAGGAGGAGAAGAAGAGGATGAGGAGGAGAAGGAGGAGGAGGAGGAGGAGGAGGATGAGGATGAATGAGGAGGAGCAGGAGAGGAGGAGGAGGAGAGGAAAAGGAGAGGAGCAGGAGGATGAGGAGAGGATGAGGAGGAGCAGGAGAGGAGAGGAGGAAAAGGAGAGGAGCAAGAGAGAGGAGGATGAGGATGAGGAGGAAGGAGGATGAGGAGGAGGAGGAGGAGGAGGAGGGGGAGGAGCAGAGGAGGAGGAGGAGGGATGAGGAGGAGGAGGAGGAGAGGAGGACAGGTGGATGTTGGAAATGAATTCAAAACATTGATTTTCAGAAGACTGTCTGTCACATCTTACTGCTTCACATGCTGCTCAGACACTTCATCAGCTGGTAACTAAAAACCACTGTGACAGACAAAAAGGTCCGGAGACCTTAAAGTATACATCAGCTTCAAACTGCGCTGCTTTCTTTTTGATTGTGTCTCCCTAACTTTCCTGAGGTTTGTAAAACTCTGTGACCCTTCGTGTGACTGTCGGCAGGGTCACTGAAGACTCCTCACCTCGTATTGATCCAAGAGGACAGCAGAGAAAAATGCCAGAAGGGGGTTTCTGAACTCCTTTCAACAAAAATAACACCAAGTAATGCAAAAAACAGCACACCACCACTAACCCCAACTGGAGACGAGTAGACTGGTCTCACTGACCACTGTATTCCCAGTTTAACCACAGTCTGTTGAAGGAATAGCTCAATGGTAATTTGCTTGCTTCTTTGCAATATGTTTTTTTAAAGTTCTTCCCTGAAAGCTGGATGAGACAATATTTTAGATAAATTCAAATAACTTTATTTATCTGCTCTGAAGTGACGACATCAAGAGAACGATCAACTGAGGTGAGTAAAGCTTGATGACTGGCAACTGGACTTGGTTCAACATCTTGAAGGAGAATGGACGGAGCGAGAAAATGAGCCTGTGTGGATCATAATGACTGATGCTCAAGATGACTCTGACTAGCTGAGTCGTTGACCTAGTTTTAGCATAGAGTCGTGGCACCTCTCAAGCCACCAGACCTTCCATATTTTGGTTCGCACTCGGCCTATTTCCCAACCCAAAGTCCCCGACAGACTGAGCTACTGCTGCCCCATTACCCTCATAACCATAGACTGTCACTCACTGTCTATAAAAGTGGACGGAGCAACAGGGGCCTTGAGGAAGCCAAAACATTTAGGGCTCTCCCTACTGTCTGGCTTCAGAATAGGTCATAGACCCCGCCTCCTCCATGTTAGCAGATGGGACATAGGTCAAACTATCAATGGTGGCTGGTGGCTCTTGGTTAGTGCACCCACCCATCTACAGAGGCAAAAGTCCTCCAAGCGGGCGACCCGGGGTTCAACTGTCGACGACCTGCGGCTCCTTTCCTGCATGTGTTCCCTACACTCGCTCCCCGATAACCGACACTGTCCTATATCTAAATAAAGGCATAAAAAAGCTCAAAAGTACATCTTAAAAAAATAAAATAATGCACGTCAAATCATTTTTTGTCAAACCCAGATTCTGTCGTGAAATGGTCATGATCGTGCTGATCTATTCTACAATTCTACAATCCATTTAGTGACGTGAATCTCAGAGTTCATACAACACGAGCGAGGATCTAGAAAGGAGGAAACAACGTCCCTGTTGCATATTTCTTGGTTTCAAATTAGACCAAAGGCGATATATCAGCCGCACGTTACAGGGTTATTTTGGCTTCACTTTTTATAAAAAGGACGGAGACTGAGATGCACTCTCCATATTTATATACAGTCAATACTCATGACAAACACTGTCCCAAGTACCTGACAGACAGTGTCGTCAACTTACGAGCTTAGTGATCTACTTCATGTCAAACACAGAACTCAGCTTCCTGGAGCTTGGATTCATATTCTGTTCACATGGCATTGATTTTGTAGGTGAAGTGCTTTGCTGGATTTCATCCTGTAAGCAGCTGCTATGAATCAAAGTTTAAAGAGAGTGGCTTTTAAAAGGCGATTTACTTCCTCTTCCTCACCGCTCTGAGGGAAAGAAAGCCCAATAAAAATGCATCTTTTGAAAATATTCCCTGCTGACATAAAAGGAGAAGAATCTAATGAAACGAACTCATTCAAACATTTTCTTTCCCGGAGAGGTTCCTCACAATGATTTATTTTCTGTGTATCAAAAAGAACTTGAGACGTTTTTTTTATACCGCTGGTTTAAGGAAAAGTTTGAGCATTATTAATAAAATCTTTTTCGCTGCTGTTATTATAAAGTTTTGAAGAGACACAGAAAGATTTTAAATGAAGATGTTTTTAAATAAGGTGGCTTGTAATTGTTACCTTAAAGGAGCAATATGTAACTCTGACACCTGGTGTTTAAAATGGGTACTGCAGTCCAAATCAACACATTGTAGTCACATTGTAATAGCAGACTTTATTAGTTTGTCAGCCACTTCTGCGTCGTTCTTTTGTCATGTCTCGTCTTTTTCAGGAGCAGTCTACCTGAAAGGGCATATTTCATTTCATTTCATTTCAAACCTTTATTTAATCCTCGAAAATCATTGAGGTCTCCCTCGTTTACAATGATGTCGAGATACAAATCACAACAAAACAAAAAGGTCACAAAATAAAACAACAAAGACGGGTCAAAATGATTCTCACTGTGGTAAAGTGGTTTGAGACCGTTGTCTTAATTTGTCCAAGAGAAACAAGCGTGTCAGTCTTGAGAAAGTGTTGTAAATTATTCCACATTTGTTGTGTATTTTATGTGTAAACAGCTTCAGTAACACACATTTATCATCACCACCCACCTGTTGAGGATGTACCAGACCCCGGTGAGGGTACCAGCCAGCCAGGATCCGGACAGGAGCCAAGCTGTGAGGTACAGAGCGATCACATACACCGCTTGGAGCGAGAACACTGTGTAAATGTAGAAATAGACTGGCTCCAGATACGCCTGGACCACACACCCCCACACACACACACACACACACACACACAAACAGACACCATTAGTTCATTAGGCACTATAAATGAACACACAGAGAGTCGACTGCGGCGACAGTGGCTGACAGGAGCACCCGGGAACACCGTGGCATTTTCAGAGTTTGCTCTGATATTTCACTTCCTGGCATTCTTGTCAGGGTGACGCTGCTGAGGAAGCGAAGTGTGCTGTTTCTCGGTTAATTGATATGCCAATACAGAAACCTTTTCCCGCCAGTGTGACAAGTGCAAGTGTGGCGAGCCGTGTCAGCTAAATGGACTAAATGTAAAAATGTCACATCTTCTCAAATGCCTGACATTCTCTTAATGTGACTGTAATTCAAAACAGAAACAAGGACCTGGTTAAAATAATGACTGAATTTAAGTATATATAAAGGGTTTGCTTTTTTTTTTTTTTTTACATTTTTCACAACACAAGAATGCTTCACTTCACCGGGCAAACATGTCAAGAAAAGTCACAGAGACAGTCAATCAATGTTGAAATAGTGGCTGTCTAATCGTAAGTGTTTTGACGCCTTTTGTAAACAGCAGACAGCTGAGTGATGTGTTACCTGTACGGGCAGCGATCTGTAGAGAACACTGAGAAAGACCTCCTGGTAGATATTCATTCGCTGTAGGAGATTAATGGTCCTCTTGGATTCTGTCAAGTTGTCATGGATCAATTCTGAGAGGCCTAGGGGACACACACACACACACACACACACACACACACACACTTTGAAAATGCCACCACTTCTTCACAGTGACATGCGACTGACAACTATTATTATTGGCTTTGTGATAACTTTGAGAGGAAGGGATGTGAATGTTTCTTTAAGTAGCAAACATAGTGCGCTGTTATCAAGAACAATGGCAGTGTTTGAAATTCTGTCAGCCGCTAAAAACCAACGGGCTGCTCTGCTCAAAATTTTAATTCCTTAATTGCTGAAAGCAACAATGAACGTCTGAACCCATCCGTGCATTCAACCATGAAAGCCTTAAAACACGCTACATATACTGAATTTAAAATAAGAGTAATGCCATGCTGCTTTTTTCTCACAAAAAGTTGACCAGAAAAAACTTTAACACCATAAACTGATCTTTACACTAACATGTCTGAAACATTGCCTTGTTCCCCGGTATGTAAGGAAAGGTTGAGTTAGCTTTGACCCAGGTCAGGGGTCGGATCTGCAAGTACCTGGACAGTTTCTGTTGAGGTGATATATTTCCGGGATAGATGCTTAAAACTAGAAAATACTAGAGCCCGAGCGATTAATCGGACTGCCCTTAAAATCGGCCGATATTAGTGCCGTCACGAATCACAAAAATCTACTTCGGCTCTACCACTGAGCCGCAGCTGTCCCAAAAACACACTCAGAGGAACCTTTTAACTCGTTTTGGAATTGCAAACCGATTGCTATCACATTTACTGTGAATTATGAAAACATCTGCCAGAGGTTAGCACAAGCATTAGCTGACAGCGATCCCTTTGATTCTCCTCCAGCGCCACCATCACTTCCAACGGTCACTTTTGGCGGTTGTTCAAAAAACCAATTAACATATTCATGGTGGCGCTGGAGAGTCCACATCTTCCAAACAGAGTGAGGCTGTCCGACTTTTCTATACTTCGATACTTCTTGATACCACGTCCAGAACGACAGGAAGTCCTTTGTTTTAAAAAGTTGATAGTATCAGAGAGTAGTGCTGTAGTCAAGACCACACTAACCAAGACCGAGACATCCCGAGACCAGAGTGCTCCGAGACCGAGTCGAGACCAAGACCAAGGCATGGGGCAAAACCTTAAATATCACTGAAAAACCCTCATCTTGCGTGCAGGCTGCGTGTCACTCACGTGTAACACCAGGAAGGTTGCAGCCGTAACCGGGGGATAAAAATCTAATTATGACTTAAATTAAATTATTTGTTTTTTTAGAAGGACACAGAGTAAAAATGCTTTCGAGTCCGAGACGAGACAGAGACCTCCAATCAGTGGCCTCGAGACCAGTCTTCAGACCAAGACCATTTAAGTGATAAAAAACTATCAGAAAGTGATATTTTTTAATCTCTCGTTGCTTATGTGATATCTAAGAACTGATTTATTTACTGTAGTATCCTCTGAAATTACTTAACTGGTGGTGATGATTTTTTCATGTATTACTTGGAAAGTGAGTTGAGTCTTGTTAAAAGTTGCCACGAGTGAAAGAGAGAGAACATTTTCTTAATTGCACAAATATGTGTAGGCTACTGGAATCTGGAGAAATGACCCAACATGGGCGCCTCAGACTTTGTTAGATATTGTTTGATTTTTTTTTTTACTTCCATCATATCTAAGTTTAAAATTCTGGTGTTGTGACACCCCTAATACAGATAATGATGTGGGCATAACATGTTTGCAATATTGCATTTTCTCAGTGGGAGAATGAAAAATGGAGTTAAGAAACAACCCGCACAGAGGGTCAAAGACACCGCAGGGGGAGAGTCTGTGAACTGCGATAGCGTTTCTCGTCTTTCTTGCCCTGACACATTTTCCCGTGATGTCTCAGCATTCCTCTTTCTCAACAATTACCTGCTGAGCACAATGATGTGATTTCATTTGGTGGAAAAGCAGTAAAAAATGCGAGCCGAGTTGTAATAAACCAGAATTTTCTCCAAACCATTGCACGACACTGTGATCAGTCTAAATCGAGCACTGGGTGCAGTATCATTACTATGTATCTGGTTTGACTGAAACTAAGTGTGACACCAAAACCAGCAGCGGAGAGCCGACTTCCTGCTGCAGGCTGCGGGGTGTCAGCCTGATCACCGCTGTGTTCTTGAGCCATGTAAGACTATGAAGTTTTCCATAAACAACATGCACAACACATGACCAGCGCCGTCTCCTTCCTTAAATGTCCTGTTTGCCTCTCTTACTATTATAAATCCCTCCCTAATGCCACAATTTCCCAGTTTGGGATCAATAAAGTAATTATATTCTATTCTATTCTATCCCTTACATGTAACGGTCAAATCAGCAGGCTCCAAAATGCTGCCGCTTTGACCAAATGCTTAAAGTCTTTCTATGTGATTTTTCAAACTTAAATGTAGAAATCAAGAATATCCTCTGAAAATAACTCTGTGAGTCATGACTGTCTACAATGGGTGTAACACCCGAGTCCCACTGTCCGTGATGTTTTCAGAGTTTTCAGAGTCCTATCTTCACTTTGTTTACATCGCCAGGACGGCCGGCTGACTCCTCCCCTCGTGTATAAAAGTTGTTTAATTGAGGGACTAGCGAAAAGAAGAATAACATACTGTACTCACTGCTTAACTGTGTTTCTAGATCACGCTCATTTCAGGTAAATTTACATGCAGTGTGAAGATACCAGCATAATAAAGATCGCTAGCATTAGCATGCTAACACAACAATGCAGCGTGAGTTGTTTTGGTTTCATGCTGGAGCTCAAGGGCGACAGTTTTAGTTAGCCCAGTGTTTTATATCTGCTTGTCTACATCCCATTTGTGTTTTACTTGTTTGTTAAAAAGAAAGAAAAACGAGGAGTGGATGCCAAAAAGGTCCCACGTTTAAAAAGCTTATTCAAAAGTTATCTTTGAGGTTAGTATAATCATTTAGATGTGTACTATTCCCTTGTTTTCATTGTTTTTAAATGTGCACTCAACATAAGTGGTTCTATGAGCAGACATTACATTACAGCTTTTCCATGCATGTTGTGTTGTTAAAGTGTCTTTTTAATCCCAATGGGACTCCATGGTTAAATAAAAATTCAAATTTTTACAATGAATGCTTCTTTTTTCATGAACACCAGCCTCCCCCCCCCCCCCCCCTCCGAGTTACCATTAAAAGTTAAGCTACTGCAGTTTGTCTGCATCGAGCCATTCTGCTGTGACAGAAGAAAAAAAAGAAGTAAACTCCGAATGAGACAGAAATGGAGGTCAGCCAATTCCTCAACTGATTAGCCTTCAGCTAAATTATTTTCCTCGGTTGGAAAATTAGGCCCGCTTCCAACTAGGAATTTTACATGATAATGGGGACAAAATAATTAGACTAATTTCCCTCAGACCAGACTGTGCGTCACAAGAACTGCAGTGAATTGTTGGTCTGCTTGGAAAACAGAGGGTAGTAAAACTTTTTTTTCCTTGTAAGGACGAAATGAGGCAGCCATCTGGTGACTCAAACCATGTAAAATGTGAAGTTTTATTTGCTGATAGAAATGTGACGAACATGTTACAAATCTTACTGTTTTTGTAATTCTCTCAAAACAGCACAATACCCAGGAGAAGCTGAGTGTGACTTCATACAGTCAATGTTAGCTTTGACCCTGACTGAACGTTAGCTGAGGCCTGCTGCCTTTTCTCTCGTTAGGTCGGCCAAGCTTCAGCTTCAATCAGGTCTTGTACAGCTCGGTTACAGACAGTGATCGCTGTGATAAATCTGAACTAAGAATATCTAGTTATTTTAGAAACAATGGTCCTTAGTCTCTGTTAAAGATAGGATTCATCTCGCTTCTCGACACTGGTCATCAAATCGACAACCAAACTTTTGTTACTTTTAGTTTGCAGCCTACAGCGCAGTAAACCAAAGTCACTTCCAAGTTTAACAGATTCCTTTAAAGCAGTGGTTCTCAACAGGTGGGTAGGCACCCAAAAGTGGGTCGCGGAGCTGTTAACAGTGGGTCGTGAATGTGTGCCTGGAAAACAAAAATTGTGTCAAAGTCTATGAAGCGCTGTTTAAACGTGTCTGTTGTGTTTCTGTTTCTTTGTTCTGTCAGAAAGAAACAGGTCTTAATTTGTCATGGGGGAGTTGGTGGTGGATCCTGAGACCAGAACAATTGAGAACAAGGTCTTTAAAGGCTTGCTACACATCAGACACACCTCCCCCTCCCCTCCTGTCTCCAGATTCAATAGCAGTAGTGTTGCAGTACTCAAAATCGGTCTTGGTCTCAAGACCCCTTTTTGAAGGTCTTGGTCTCAGTTTTACTCGCTCTTATCTTGGTCTCGGATTGCGCAGACTCCAGATTTTGGATTAAAAAATGGCAAATATTATAGAAAAGGACAGTGTGGGCAAAGTTCCCATAAACATGAAGCCTACCTTCCTGTATTGACGGGGCCTGCAACATTTGCTTGAAGTAGGAGTAGTACAGTCCACACTCGGTCCTGAAGGAGATCTCCCGCTCCACTTCCTGAAAACAAGAAAGGGGAATTTTGGGGTTTGTGAAACCAAACACTTCTGTTCTCAGTAATATGGAAAACAGAAATCCCAACCTTGGCAAGACATGACAGAAATGGAGGAGGATAGAGGCAAAGCTGCTAATACACTCGTAATCCCCGACAATAACAATGAGACAGGTAAATAGGGCCTGTGTGTGTGTGTGTGTGTGTGTGTGTGTGTGTGTCTCTCTGGAGATTAGTGTTTCACTGGAGGGTAAAAACAGAAAGTGACAAACAGTAAACAACCAGCTGCAGAATATTAAGTCAATCATATGTCTGTCATGTTTTCTTTTCAAAAAGTTTTTGTGAAAGGTGACTAAAAAGAAATTCTCTTTGACATTGGTGATGTACACACCTGTACATCATGTTCGGGGATTACTCATAGAGTCATCCAAGACAACATGTTAAAAACACATTCATACTTTTGAAAAAGGTATATTTTGTATCGTTGCATAAGGATTCATTGATTCAATAATGATTCTTATCCTCCATTTTCCATGAAACCACCACAGCTGTAATTCTACAAATGCATAAATCCACCGTGACATTAAATCTCACTTTCACAGTTCATCATATTTAAATTATCTTCCATCAAAAACAAACTCAAAGCCTTCAGTGTAGCTTTAAAGATAAACATAATTTAACTGATGCTGTAATACAGCACGCCTTGCCATTAGGAGTGCTCTTTAACACACAGTGTGTAGACTCCACCACCAGGGGGCGCTCAATCAAAACAATAACAAAAAGAAGAGACGGTCACTCAATGTAAAGTAACTGAGCATGTAGTGCATCACTGCTTGACACTCTGGAGAGTGATGATGCTTGTTTTAAACCATATAGCTCCCTCTGCTGGTGACAGCAAGAAAGCGAACAGCTAGTGTAATACAATGATGCTCAAATGAAATGCTATTTGACTCGGGAATAAATCTTTTAATATCAGTGCATACCTGTGATAAAATTAGCCGATACCGATAGTCACTGGATAAACGAATATCGGCCAAATTATCGGCCAGCCGATTAATCGGTTGGGCTCTGCAAGAGAGTGGACTAGACTCCAAACAGCTGGACGCACACACACACACAAGCAGTCTAAAATAAGCCTCTCTGCTAACACTGTGACTGTAATCACAGCAGCTGTACTGAATGTGGAAACAAATTAAAAGGAAAGAGATTGAGTTCGTCACCTTAAGGACCCTCAGCAGCAAATGGCCTTACCACCGCGAGCAGCGTTCACTTCATTTGTTTAATTTGAGTTCTTCCCAGCACAAAGATGTCATGTACTAAATGAGCTTCACTGACATCTCCCTGACTCTCTAAATAAATGTGTCAGCCATCTAGAATGGAACAATGTACACTTTTTAAGTCCAGTGACCTCAGCAACTCGGAGCATAGCGCCACAAATGTTCTCAGGCTCTTTGAACATATTATTAAAACCATTGGAGAGGATTCTGTATAAGACATTTCCTGCGGTCCTGACATGTTTCTCTTTGTTGCCAGTCTATGAATAGACACACAGTCTGTATATAAGAAGATAAACCCTCTTAGTTTCTGAAGTCAAGCCAATATGAACATGCCTTACATCTGGATTCATTCTAATGTCCAGTAGGAGACACGTTTATTGTCTCAATCTGTAGTTTGAAGTTTTTTTCCATGAAACACATTTGAGAGGGAACACGTTAAAGATTACTGACATTGTGGCTCATGAAACATGACATATCAAGATACTCAGAATGCAGCTTTGTTAAAGGCAGAATGATATTTTACAGATAAATATATCAGAAATCAAGTATATCCTGTACAATATATCAGTGATAGGCCAATATCAGGGTCCTAAGACGCTGACTAGACTCTTCTCCTCTGTCGCCCCCCGGTGGTGGAATGAACTTCCAAACTCCATTGGATCTGCAGAGTCCCTCTGCACCTTTAAGAAAAAGCTAAAGACCCAGCTCTTTCATGAATACCTACTAACTTAATGATGATGGTCTCCATATTATTGATGATGATGATGGTAATGATGATGGTTTTTGTTTGATAATGATGACTTATAAGATGGTTTCTATACTGATTAGAGCTCTCAAGAACTGCCCTCAATGTTGTGCTTTGCCTCTGGTCACTTCCTGTCAGCACCTGTGTGTCCAATCAGACTCAAAGCTGATCATTTGCTCTTACTGACATTGTTCCCTTTTTTCTAGATCCTTGCTTGTGTTGTACTTACTCTCTCATGTAAAAGAACTGTAGAATTGTAGAATATCAGCTGACATGTGATGTTCAGGTTATTGAAAATTAGGGTTTCATGGGGTGCTCATGGACACTGTCAGATATGGACGCATCATGAGTCACTGAAAATCAATAATATGTCAATTTAGGCACATGCAAAAGTGAAAACTTATTTCTAACTGCTCCGCCTGTATCACAAAGTTGGCCTGTAATTCTTAGTCCTGTTACAATGGTTGTTACCTGGATGTGTGCATCAGACATAAATGCAGATGAAGCCTGAGTGACATCACCCATCTGTTCCTGCAGCAGCTGCCTGTCTCCATGCTGAAAATGTCTAACTTTCTCAAAACCTTTCAGTCAACCAAACGAGACAGGCTGAGGTGTGTTTTAAGCATCTTCACAAATCGTTACACCGGGCTGCCTGTCAATCAGGTCAGCTATGTGATTTATTGTGAAAAACTCTTATCCTTCATTAAATTAAATATGTGACTTCTGGGGATTCTGCAAACAGCCTCAAACCGACACTCCACCGAGCATTTTGCACTTCAACATTGTCTTCATTTTTGTCTTCAACATTGTCTTCATTTTGACTGAGGTTGCCGCTGTGCACTGATTATTTAGTGATTTGATTGAAATCAAATAACTAAGAAACTTTAATAAATACCATTTTGGGGCGCTGGTGGCGCAGTGCACGCCCCATGTGTGGAGGCCGTGGTCCTCCAAGCAGGCGGCCCAGGTTTGAATCCCCCTGTGGCTCCTTTCCCTCATGTCATTGCCCGCTTTCCTTTCTCTCCATTAAAGGAACAAAAAGCCCAAAAATAAATAAAAATAAAAATAATACCATTTAAAAAAACTGTGTCTACTTCTGTGTCAACCTGAGACACAGCAGGAAGCCTTTTTAATAAAATCTAAAATATATAAATGATCATAGGATGTCCTTGAATTGCATGTCTTTGATTGAGTGACAAATGGAGAAGGAGAAGGAGACACACTTGTGTACTTTATATAGAGTTACTAAACTAACTCCTACTGTGAGCTGAGATTGGACAGCTGGGGGGGTTGACACTTTTTATTTGCACCGATTGATCCCCGTGAAACTCGTGCTGCACGCTGTGACTGTGAGTGAGAGCTCGTCAGCCGTGTGTGTGTTTAATTAAAGGTTGAAATTAAAACAGTATCACATCTCCTACCGTGAGCTGAGAGAACCACAGCAGATTCTCGTGTATGGCGTCGACACACCAGGCGTGAGACAGTGCCAGAGCCACGGCCAACAGCAGCCCCGTTGCCACGGAAACACACTGTAGCCACGGCCACTGGGGTGAACCGGAACAAGAACCGGATCCTCTGAGCAAAGAAAGCCCCACTTTACCCCCCTGGTGTGTGGCATTAGACCTTTTTTTGTCCCACGTCTTGTTACTGCACGTCCCTGGAGGTGATGCATCTTGAAAAAGGCTCAAATTATGTTCAGGCTTGCTCAGCTTGACTCTCTTACGAAGCTCCATTTGCCAAATAATACAGAAACTATCAATACATTCTGGGATGCTTTGATGAGCTGAATCCAGGTAGATAAACAGTACGCTCCACAGTAGAGTTATAGAAGTGATCCAAATCCATTACAGAAAAAAAATGTAAATTTGGTGCGTCTTCATTTCTTGAAGTCGGTCCAAATAAATTAGCTTTTTAATCGCTTCAAGTTCCGTGCCAAAGGAAATATGCAAAAAGCTTTCCCAGAGGGATTGAGCAGCTGATTTTCCTTCCCAATCCTTTTTGTGAGTTAGCTCAAGGCAAAATAAGCCTTGGCTTTTCACCAAGAACTCTGATGAGATGGCTAATCCTCGGTTTAAATTAAGGTCAAAGAAAAAAAGGCCTGGTTAACAAGTTCACGCGTTGCTCATAACAATGAAAGCTAGTTCCTCTCTCAGAAAAGTACCGATCCTCTTCTCTACTGGTTCTCTCCTTTTACCAAATTTCTCTTCAAAGGTTTCAGAGTAAGTCCCATCTCTCTGATGTGGTGCTTAAAGAATCCAAGCAGGGGTCCTTCCAGCATTGGCCCGGCTACTTTTATATCTATCGGAGCCAAAACATGGGCCAACTGTTGCCTCCCCTGAAGTCTCACAGAGAATTTGAAACAGAAAAGCAATCTCTCCCCACAAATCAGCGGCTTAGTTTGAAGAGAGGAGCAAACACAGAGAGGCTGAGCTACAGAACGTCTGCAAACAACAGGATGGGCTGTAGATCACCGGAGCAGCCAGGGGGGAGGGAAAGAAAGAAAAGAGAGTTGACTACTGGTGACCTTTTGTCTATAAAAAAACACACATGCACACAGGAAAAAGAGTAAGATCGAGTGGGGGTGGGAATCAGCAGGGGAACATTTTGGAACATCATTTGGAAAATGTGGGGAATTTGTTAAGAGGGTTTTGTGGATGTGGAAAGCGGTGACAAGCTGTGAGCACATGTCTGAAATGAACTCCATTTAGCGAGTGGGACGGATGTGGACATGACTTCACACCTGATGAATTCAAGAGGCCAGATTACGCCAGCTGTCGTAATCTGGTGTCGTAACAACACTGCTACCACACTCCCCTTTAACAATGAAGTGGATAGGAAACCATCAGTCATGTCGGGTTAAGTCAGACGGTTGCGAGTACAAACTCCACACAGGCAGTATTCCCGAACTCACAAATGACTTTCCAGCATGTTTCACAGAGCTTTCCATCCTACATGGACCGTCCCAGACACACTGAGGAGCACGTGT